GCGTGCGCCCGGTTGATCGCCCAAGCCATCAGCGACAACACCCTCCGGTTGTGGAAGGTGGCCACAACCACAGCCGTAGTAAGGTGGCGATCCCGCAGCCTCTACAACCCCTCTAGGAGCGGCTGCAGCTTGGGCTGATCCTCCCTCGGGACGCCATACTTCCACCTCTCTGGGCAGCTCCCCACAATCCGCCAAGTGTAGGGGGGAAGTCCGTCGTTGTCGTTGCGAAGATAGAACCAGCTCGTGTATCATCAACGGTTGGTTGACGCGAGCTAGGCTGGAATATAGAGGTGCTGGCGGTCCTAGCGCACTTGGAGAGTGCAGCCGCCGGCCCTCACCGCCTTCCTCATGCCCGACGTGCCCGCCGGCTTGGTGGTATGCCCTGCCAGGAAGAGATGGAGCCACAACTCCCAGTGGGGAGCAATCCCCAAATACCCCTCGCAGACAGCGACGAAGATGGCCGCCTGCGCGATAGAATTAGGGTTGAAGTTGTGGAGCTCCACGCCATAGTAGTGTGGGAGCGCCCGCATTAATCGGTTTGTCGGGACGCCGAGGCCACGCTCGTAAAAGGACACGAAGCTCACGACATAACCGTCACGAGGCCTCGGCTCCGGCTCGCCTGACGGAGCGATCCACTCTGGCCTGTTGGGGTCGGTCACCGGACGAAGGAGACCGCCGTCGACGAGCGACTGAAGCATCTCCACGGTGACGTCGGATGGATCCCAAGGGTCCGCCTTGATGACAACAATGTCGCCGGCCATGAGTGCGGTGGAGGGCTCGACTACGGCGGTGAGTCTCTCTCTCTCTCTCTCTGCCTCGCCTCTTTCCCTTCTTCCTCCCGGGGCTCTCTGCTCTAGCGACGGCTCAAAGACGGCAAAGCTAATGCGGGCAGGGTAAGGAGGGGAGGAGCGAGGCTCATTGCGTATTTATGCAGGGTGAAGGCGAAACGAACGGGCGACGAAATCAGGGAAGTTTCCCTCAGATCCAGCGCGGTTAATCCTGATCCGATTTTACCGCCCATATGTCCACCTTTTCCTCATTAATAGCAGGAACAGTTACGTCCCATCCACTGACGCCACGTCATGACCGACCGCTGTAGCAGCAGGCGTCGTTCTACCTCCCCAAGGAAATCACCTCAAAAGGCGCGTCGGCCATTGTCGAACTAATGGGGGAGATATCCCCCCACCCTATTCCTTTCAGGTGAAGGAACCGGGCGCCGAGCCCATTATGGTCCAGGGGTTTCGACAGCCGCCCCAGGGCAATAGAGTCAGGGGCGACCGCGGGCGAGCCCGTACGGGGCCGAGACCCAAGCAAGCGAAATGCTTGGGACGCCCAAAGTCGCTTCCAAGACCGGCAGGGAAGTCTCCGAATGGGATCCCACCATAGGGAGGCACCGAGCCACCGGGGCCCAGCGAACGGCCCCGGCACCCACTAGAGAAACCCTCTGGTACTCTTGGAGTGCGTCCATGGACCGCTAGCCGACCCCTAACGAACGGGGCTCGGGCCTCCACTCGGACTTACCCAATAACAGCTCACCGGAAATGCCAACACTCGCGCCCATCGAGGGTAGCCTAGCATATTCCACCCCTCCTTCCGAACGAAAAGGAAGCGCGAGGGTCATATAAAAAAGCCAGGGGGAACCCCTGACGGACCTCCCGCAGAGGCTAAGGGGCTCTCCCTGCAACTTTGCCGAGACCTAGCGACCCAGGTTCGCACTCGAGGGGGCTCGGCAAACAAACCCCTCCTTTCGAACGAAAAGGTTGTGCGAGGGTCGTACAAAAAGCCAGGAGAACTCCTGACGGCCCTCTTGCTCCGGGCAGAGGCTAGGGAGCTCTTCCTGCAGATATGCTGAGACCCCGCGACCTAGGCTCGCACCCGAGGGGGTCTCAGCAAACAAACCCTCACGCGCAAGGGGCGTATAAAAAGCCAGGAGAGCACCTGATGGCCCTCTCGCTCTGTGCAGAGGCTAGGGGGCTCTTCCTGCAAGTTTGCTGAGACCCAGCGACCCAGGTTCGCACACGAGTGGGCTTGGCAAACAACCCTTCCGTCCGAACGAAAAGGATGTGCGAGGGTTGAACAAAAAAGTCAGGGGGACCCCTGACCGCCCTCTCGCTCCGTGCGGAGGCTCGGGGGCTCCTCCTGCACCCAAGACGAGGACAAGCGACCCAAGCCCGCACCTGAAGACTCGAAAAAACGCGATAAAAGGGCACCGAGCCCGTTACGGTCCAGGGGTTCGAAGGCTGGGCCCCTAAGGGTTTCGACAGCCGCCCTAGGGCAACAGAGTCTAGGGACGACTATGGGCGAGCCCGCGCTTGGCCGAGACCTGAGCAGGCGACTGCTCGGGACGCTCTAAGTCGTGTCCGAGACTAGCAGGTAGGTCTCCGAATTGGATCCCACCGTAGGGAGGCACCGAGCCACCGGGGCTTAGCGAACGGTCCCGGCACCCACTAGAGAAACCCTCTGGTACTCTTGGAGTGCGTCCATGGACCGCTAGCCGACCCCTAACGAACGGGATTCGGGCCTCCACTCGGACTTACCCGATAACAGCTCACCGGAAATGCCATCGCTCATGCCCATCGAGGGTAGCCTGGCATATTCTACCCCTCCTTCCGAACGAAAAGGAAGCGCGAGGGTCGCATAAAAAGCCAGGGGAACCCCTGACGGACCTCTCGCAGAGGCTAAGGGGCTCTCCCTGCAACTTTGCCGAGACCCAGCGACCCAGGCTCGCACTCGAGGGGCCTCGGCAAAGCAAACCCCTCCTTCCGAACGGAACGGGTGCGTGAGGGCCATGCAAGAAGACAGGGAAACCCCTGGTAGTCCTCTTGCTCCGAGCAGAGGCTCGGGGGTTCTTCCTACAACTAAGCCGAGGCTCAGCAACCTGGACTCGCATTCATGGGCTCGGCTAGTGTAATAAAAATACATCGCACGACGTAAGGAAAGCCCCTGGAGGAGTCAAATCCACTCCTCCAGGGCCTCGGGGGCTACACCCAGCGGGTGCGCTCGCACGCACCCACTGAGGTCTCGAGTATGAAACGCAAATCTCGACAAGAGTCGCCGCAAGCCGAGTCTCAAACCTCTGAGAGAGCTCACACACTCTCTTAGAGGCTCGGGGGCTACTGTCGGGTACCGTAAAAAGGGGGTACTCTAAGCAAAAGCCAAAAAAACTCATAAAACCCCCATGAGGCCTCCTTAGTCGAACTAAGAAAACAGTTCACGGTGACGTCCGAGGCCGGCTCGACCGAATCCGGTCTCGGACCAAATCTCCGCCTCCGCCCGAGGCCCCGGTCAGGTCTTGAGGTCCCGATCCGCTCCGCCTCGCCCGAGGCCGGGGCAAATCCCCGTGTCCTCGTCGCCCGCCTCGACCGTCCCTCCGGCAGTTGTCCCATCCATTTAATGCCCCCCTGTGAGCACCATTGCGTCGACCCACGACACCGACAGGTACAACAACGAGGCGATAGGACAACGGTCAAATCTCCTTTTACCATCCCTTCTTCGACAGTGCAGGGGTTACCGTGCCTGTGGACACATGTCCCACACTATTCCACCTAAACCGAGTACGACGCTGACCGCCGAGGCCCCCGTATCGCACGCGGGGCACGTCCAAGGCCTCGGATGGATAACTAACTCTCTGCCTCGCTAGTGGCCTCAGAGGCCTTGGACAGAAACCGATTCTCCGACTACCGAGAGACCCGCCTAAAAAGGCCTCAGGCGAGTTACTAACGCTCCACCTCGTTCAAGGCGGGCTCGGCAAACCACCCCATCATCGCCTCGCCTCGACCAACCACTCCACGGCGTCATCCGGATGACCGCTCGGTACGAGAGGAGTGGCCGACGAGACGCAAATCACATTGGCACCATGTTGACTGAAACAAGACAAGCGGGGAGTTCGCAAGCCCTTTGCGCAAAGATCTTGTGCCCCACGACTAAATGTCCATACCGCACTGTGCTGCCTAACTCTAACTACTCCGAGGACGACACAGCATAGGGAGTTAAGCTCGGATCCCTGTAGCCTCGGAATCAGTGTGCAGGGTTAGCCGCTCCACCCATGCATCGACAATTTACCTCAGGGTCTCGACAACCTTGGGGTTCACACCTGCCGGCCCCCCACGATGGCTCGGCCTCGGCACTTCGTGCGGACAACGCACTACGACCGGCACGTCGCTCGTCAGGCCCTACATCAAGCTATTACATCGCACAGGATCGGATATGACCGGTACGCTGCTCCGGCCAGGGGCAGAACCACTCCATCGACTATTCCGCCACAGCAACAGGCTACAGGTCTCGGACAGGCCGCCTCTGTTCACACGACGCCACGTAACTAGTGCATGTATCACCCCCATCCCCCCTTCTACTATAAAAGGGAGGGACCGGGGCTGTTTCTAGGGATGAGACACACGGGCCTGAACTGGAACACACTTAGGCACATACGAACTCACGAGGAAGACGGACACAGGCCGTAGCAACCACACTTAGATCAGCGTCTCGAGCAATTCGTCCCGTTCATCATAGAGACTTGGGGCTAGCTCCCTCTCTCGCTCTGTTTGTAACCCCTACTACGAGCACTTCGGTGCAAAGAATACAAGATCGATCTCCTAGACTGGACGTAGGGCACTGATTACCTGAACCAGTATAAACATTGTGTCTCTTTGCATCATCATCCAGTATTAGGGACATGCAGTACAAATTTACTAGTTGGTTGAGGACCCGTCCAAAACACCGACAGTTTGTTTTGTAATTTAAGACTTATTATTATGCCATTTAGTATTTGTGTACCAAATTGTGGAGCAATTTTTTTGGTACTTTACTGAATTGCTAAATAGATTTTACCGATTTGTATATAAAAATTTTGGTCCAGCATACCTATGCAAAAATCCTCGATCCGCCACTCTCTTCTTATTTGCTATCTTCGCCGATTCTTTACCCTTCAGATCTTACCAGCTAATCGCGCTGTGGGGGCAGCGAGGTGGCAGGACGTGAGGGGCCCAGGATGATGAGCAGCAATGGCGGCGGCGGTGCAGCAGGCCCTGGCGGGGGCATGGGTCCAGGAGTGGGTGGAGGTGGGGATGGGTGGCACGACGACGAGGCTGCGCTCACTGAGTTCCTCTCATCCCTCATGGACTACACCCCCACGGTATGGTGCCGCCGTTTCCCTCTTGTCTTCTCTACTTTTCTGTCAATGGCTTAGCCCTGATGCTTGGTTTGGTGGTGCGGAAGATTCCCGACGAGCTGGTGGAGCACTACCCCGGCCGCAGCGGGTTCCACTGCCCCGACCTTCGCCTGTGAGTGCTCTTCCAATCTCTCTCCCCGATGAATAGTAGTAAGCTGAGATTTGATCAGTGCCATGGAATCATTAAAGTTAGAAACACAAATTACTTGATTTCTTGCTGACATAGTTTAATTTTGTGTTTTACAGAACAAGACTGGTTGCTGTAGCCATCCAGAAGTTCCTTTCGGACATCGCTAGCGATTCTCTTCAGTGAGTAAATTCATAGTCTTTTACAAAGTAAAGGATTACCTTCTTAATATCAATGATAGCATATTCAAGAATAAAACAGTTTCTTCCACATCAATGCAAATCTTCTGTGCAATTCCATGTTTTGGTTTGGTTCGGCAGGTTTATTAGGCTTCAATCAAAATCATTTATTTGCGTTTTTGATAGTTGTAACTCAATAGCCTTCCCACTTGCTGAAACGTTGTTCGCTCTCTGCTGCTCTTGCAAACTTACCATGCCACCATAGTGATGGATTAGTCCTTTGGATATTTCTTGGTAGAAAAGAATATTCCTCCTCCTTTGTTGTCTAAAAATGTAGTGTGATCTCTCTTGGAATTTTCTATACTAGCCAAGGGTTGCATGGATTGCTCTGCATCCACTGACTCCCTCCGAGGGTTCTGTTCATTAAAGGAGTTCGTTTTTGTTAAAGGATTATGTTCTGATACATAATGGATGTGCTTGTATTACTCACTTGATTCATGACTTCTGAGACTTATTCTCATTTTACAGTTAAGTTATCTTGTGCAGGTGCATGTTAGCAAGTTAAGCTAGAATTAGTGTATATTGACATTTAGTTCAGTGTGACAATAGAGTTTCGTGTTATAGCTTACAACGGGCAAAATTAAAAAATATTAATATTTCCCCCCTATTTTTGTGCAGTCAAGTTACTTCTATAAACAAGTAATATACCAGCTGAGGCTTGGTTTCTTTAATGGAAATCCAAAGGGGGGGGGGGGTAACAGTGTAACACACAATTGTCTTCTTCAAAGTTTTAAAAAAAACATACAAGATACTTATATTACTGAAGGAGCTCATTCTTCATGTGGCCTGGCTAATCAAGTGATGAATAACTAAAGGACACTGAAATTAGAAAACAGGTCAATTAGATTTTTTTTTGGTATCATCATCATTGAGTTAACAACTAAAAGCTACCTAGTTAACTAAGGATGCTTGATCAATCATCGTGATAGGCTCATGTTTCACATCATGTGCCATAGCAAGCTGCAATTTGCAGTTGTAGTGGCAGCAGGTTAGCGCGGTAGCACCTGGTGGAGAGACTCAGAGGCACCTAGCATGACATGACCTGGAATGCCCATTCAGCAGGCAGTGGTCTGGCGATCACAGTTAGCTTAGGGCAGCACATGGCAGCTGAGCTGCATTCTAGAAAAGGACCGCTAAAATGAGTAGAAGAGGTGACAATGGAATTCACCTTGTTCAGCTGTTGGGCCTGAGTTATGATGGAAAAACTTGTTACAAGATGAGGAAGGGGAGGGGAATAACGATAACTGAAAGGCATTGTGATTTACTAATCCCGTGGATAAACATATTCATTACAAGGAGGGGAGGGTGGGAAGGTTTGAACTTTGAAGCTTAAACATTCTTGTGCCATTTTCGGATTATATTGTGTTATTGTGCAAGTCTGCTAGGGTCTTATTTTGTGTTTTTTTGGTCAGTGTATGACACTCTATGCTCTTCACTATATAGCAAACTATTTTAAGAATTTCTTAGCAATATGCATTATACACTCTGTAGTTGTGTGCACTAATTTTGGTATTACATTTTTCTTTCCCTTGAACTAGGCACTGCAAGGCTAGGGTAGCGGCACCTATCAAAGACAATAAGAGCAAACAGCCTAAGGTGTATTTACTTAGTAGTTGAACTTTTCATGTTCCTAGCGATAAATCTTGTTTAGTATCCTTACTGTTTACTTATCACATTTTCTTAAACAAGATTTAAGCACATACCATGTGCTGCACCAGTTGGAGATCTTAATGATGATTCAGTTCCTTTAGACTAGATATGGTCAATTCCAGCAACCCAGCGGCAGTGCCCATATGACGTGTATCTTTTGCAAGAGTGAGGTACACACCATCTTCTGTTATTGACATTTTGCATGGCCATGGATATCAGACTAGCATGGTTTTCTTTGCCTGTACTGATTAAACCAAAATCATCAACCTTCCTGTCATTGTATAAGAACGCAAAGTGTGATGTGGATGTTGCTAAAATTTAAAGTCACAATTAATCTCCCATTTAAATTAAATGTGTAATAGTGGATAGTGCAATCAATAAATCAATGGAGCAGCTAATCAAATTTCAAAATGCCAATCCAACATGGCATATTCTGACATTCTTAGTGACAAACCCATAGGTTTAATGGTTTATGCAAAACCATCGACAGGACCATTATATGCATAGAAGTAAGCACCTTTGGAATCTCACTGAAAAACATTGTAGTCCCTGCAGGAATGTGAAATTTCCTCTTTCCCAGTGTGCCTAAATCTTGCAATCCGATTAGCACAACTCCTAAGGCTACGTCGAAAACCGTGGTGTATCTTCAGTCCACAGCAAACTATCTTTTCCGGTTGACCTTTAGTAATCAATCAATGTATATTTTGTACCATAGCAGTGCTATTAAGCAGGATGATAGTGTTTTTGTTCTTTCTTATGTTCCAAAATAAGTCTGTTATATCGAAACCTTGCACAAAGGGCATCATTTCTGTGCTCTATATGATATACAAAGTTCATAATGCTGATAGAGAGATTTATTCTTCAGCGTACACCATCCAGACATCCTTGAAATTTGATTTGGTAAAGATCCTGATTTTTTGAAGGTGTGCTTCTATATTACCTCTAATTTGAAGTTCCAGTCTTCCAAATCCCTAAATAGCGTCATGGCATCATTGCTGGAAGAATAGAGTAACTACTAAATGTAATCCTAATTCATAAAATCTTTATCCTGTTTAGGTTTAGGAATAGAGTAGCGGCTCCCTTAGCCAATGAGCAGACCTAACAATGATATCATTTTTTTAAAGACGGATGCAGCATATCAGCAATGAGATCTATAACTGCAGCGGACATGGCATTCTTAGGCTTAAGTCATTTTTAAGCAGTCCTAACTACTGGCCATGGTCACTGGACTACTTTCCACCACATTAGCTTTTGCTCCATTTGTGATCTTATATACCCTGATACTCACATGAGACCTCTCTGCAGCATGGTGTGAACTTGAAACACCCAGAGTACTTCGCAGACAGCCCTTCAGCAGGAATGGCTCCTTCTACAAGGGAGGAGTAGATTGGATTGGGCCAACCACTGTACCAAAATGTCCAAGCGGGGAACTAGGAATTATACAGGGATCATGCGGAATGAATGGGCGTGTTGGCATTCATTTCTTGCCCGATCAATTCGATGTAACCACGGTGGATACCATAATATCCAAAGTGTATCCCCATTGCTATTCGGGATGTATTATTGACCATTATAGTACTGCTAATATGATTAGTATCTCACTTGATTACCATGCCGCTAAGATTATCCAGAGATCAGATAGGTCTAGTTTATCTAATCCAGTATTGAAACTGCTGGAACACAAGTCGTTTTGCTGATTCACTTTTATACAAACTGTCAATCATTTCTAACCCTACCGGGCCTAAGGATGGTTGGACAAACATCATGAATGTTTGGAACAAAATCTATTCTTCTGCGTATAATTTTAAGGGGTATTTTGCCAGCAAAAACAACTGTGGCAAATATCCCCTGACTCCCTGAGGCAGCCCATCCCTGGGTGGCAAATTGTCAAATTACCTCTGGCCCTAGGAGAACATCTCAGGACAATTCTCTAGGTCCCTTATTCCTCCTCCATGGACAAACTGATTAGTATGTACTTTCACATGACCACACTGATTAACTGTGTCCTTGCTTTTGTCTATGGCACAGCACTAGAAATCTTATACAGGCACGAAAGGTCGCCTCATGCTATATATATTATATCATCAACCGTACTGATGTACCATGTTCCCACGATTGACTTGGATTTGTTAATTTCTCAACGTGAAGCAAATTTGTCCCTACATCTTTTTTTAAAAAGAATAAAAACTTAACGCACTTCATCTTTTCAATGCAGCTTATATTTCTGAAAGGGACTAGCCCTAGTATCGTATTTAGGCCACCAACCCACCATCAGGGATTTAAAATCTTGCACAGTCTGGTCACTCTCCAATTTCTATTTGCATGGTCATCGACATAGACATTTATAATCATCACAAGTTTCTAAGGTCTATCTCAGTGTTTTCACTTGCATATATATAATTGACAAAATAACAAGAGGAGGAAGTGTTGACTTCATCCCAAGTTCACAACCATTTTCTGCTGACGATTTAGAAGGATTAACAAAATCATGGCCGGCGCAATGATATGGTTTAACAATCCAGACAGTAACTGATCTCTAGTATGAAAGTGAAAATCATTGAATGGGTGCAGTCGAAAACTTGCCCCTTCGAATATCCTTCTAGAATTTACCGGTATCATTGGTTAACAGTTTCAGTACTTACGTAGGTCAAGTTGATTTCGCGAACAGGACAAAAGGAACTTCGCCAAGTTCAGTTGGTTTAACCTCGTCTGTCACATCCAAATGAGTGAATCATCATTGTTATTAACCACCTAAGTGATTTTCGTGATGAGATTCGTGAGATAAATAAATAAAAATAAGTAACAGGTTACTTCTATAGATCGACAGAATAGGATATCGTAGGTCAAGTGGGTAACAACTTGGATATCTAACACTGAACTGAAGTCCAGAAATATCACGTTGCTGAGTTATTGCCTTGTAGTAAAATAAGTCTCAAGTTGTTCACTTGGTCGCTTTCATTTCATCTATTATTCTGCATGTTTAATGGAAAGTGTAACAGCCAGTGTATATATATTTGTCATTTGTACAAAGAGAAGACAGTCAATTTCACCGCTTATGTATGTGTGTGTGTGTGTGTGTGTGTGTGTGTGTTGCAGCAAGTTTATGCAAGGACATTCTCATCCGCAGGTCAAATCGTTCGACCGGTAAAAAGAAATTAATTAGAAACAAGAGCTTTTGACTTTGCTATGGATCTTAGCTAATCTTTTGAATTCCCATCTTCTACTCGGGCCAGTAAGAGCCTAGCTAGCTAAGAGGTTATGACATGACAATAGGAAATGGA